ATTTACACAAACTGGAATCTATCAGATGGATATAATTCAAAACCGTGCAGCACATTTCCTTTAACACTGATGGTCTGTTTGAATCTCTGCAGTAAGATGTTGTGATCAAGAATAGCAAATGCTGCACTGAGGGCTAGCAGGACACGCATAGTGAACTCCACCTTCCCAATACTGTTTCAGTGATATGATGAACACTAAATCCTGATTCGTGTTCTTCAAATGAACCATTCCTCTTCCCACGATCACATAACTGCACTAAAACTCCTTTTTGAGAAGCTTTTAGGTAAAGGTGGGATTTTCTAAGACAGCTAGATCAAGTAAATGCTTTACAGACAGCTTAAAAATCTGTAGCTTGAAGCATCTTAACAGAGATAAGTTGATCGTATTTAAAATTGTAGCATTAATTAACAGTCTGCTGTTCTGCTGCACTCGTGAGGCCAGCTGACTATCTCAGAGTTATCAGTAATTCTGCAGCCATGAACATGGGTGAACTGTTCTGGTGTCCACATACTTTTGTCCGTGCAGGTGTGGAGAAAGAAGCAGCAGAACAGAATGCAGCTCCGTCACATTCTTACTCTTACTAAGTGATTTAGAAGTCGTGGCCCAACCTGCGTCTTCCTGTTTTTTTTGGTGACTAATTCTGATAATGTTCGTCTGCTTTTGTTTCCTCATCTATGGAGATTAACATCATTTTACATTTAGTTTGGACTGTTCTGCTCCAGATGAAGGAGCAAACAGATGATTGTGAATGTGTTGTTTTTACTCTTGACCACAGCAGTTTGAACGAACAAGAAAAGCTTGTACAACAGCTTTGTGGCGCCCCAGTGTTTGTCTAGAATGTGTGTGTGTGTGTTTGTATAATTCTTTCTTTCAGTTTATCTCTCGGCTCACATTGTCAACTCATCTCCTTCCTCCAAAAATCTGAGTCTATGTCTGTCTCGAGCGGTCTCTCTCGGTCTGGTCCTCATTTAGGTCAACCACACTGTAGTTCTTTGTACCTACTTTTGAACTTTGTCTGTGTGAAGAGGCATGTCGGCTCTCCTGTCCGTGCCACCACTTTGTCAGTGTGTCCTTGTACTGACTATATCAGATCTGTGGGAGTCCCTGTCCTATATTGGCTTCTTTGTAATCATTGATTAAGCTTGTGAATCAGTAACCACAGAGCAAGGAAGAAAAAAAACTTTAAACCCAGAAATCAAAGTGCAAATGTTTTGCATCTCCTGTTTGAGTTGTTGATGTGGCTTTCACACCCATTCCTGTTTCTCTCGCGGATACACGTAGACATTTTACCAGGTGTGATAAATGTTCCAGCCATTAGTCAGTTCCGATTCATGGCTTTTCAACAGTTTTGATCGTGAAACGCGTCACTGAGAGTCGACAAGAACCAGCAGTTGTCTTTTTGTGCTTGAGTTGCTAAAATGTTGGGTAAATCCTGGATTTTCTATAAAATATCATTAAAAAGCATCTACTTTTGTGCCAGAATGGATTCAGTGTGCAGGCA